ACAGGAACCAGAAAAGCAACAGGAAAAATCAACAAAATTAAGAGCAAGGTTTTTTAAAAGATAAAAAAAAAAAATTGACAAAACTTTAGTTAAAGAAAAATGACTCAAATAAAATAAAAATAAAAGAAGAGACATTACAACTGATACTACAGAAATGCATAGGGTCAAAAGAGATTACTATGGACAATTATATATGCCAACAAATTAGATAACCTAGAGAAATGAATAAATTTCTAGAAACATACAACATACCAAGACTGAATAAAAAAAATAGAAAATCTGAACAGATCAATGACAATTAAAGAAATTGAATCAGTAATAAAAAATCCCCTAACACAGAAAACCACAGGGCCAGATGGTTTCACTGGTAAATTCTATCAAACATTTAAAGAATAAATGCCAGCCCTTTTCAAATCTTCTAAAGAACTGAAGAGGAAGGAACACTTCCAAACTCATTCCACAAGGTAAGCATTATCCTGATATGAAAGCCAGATAATGATACTTCAAGAAAACTATAGATTGATATCCCTGATGAATATAGATATAGAAATTCTCTATAAATATGAACAAACCAAATTTAATAAGTCATTAAAATTATTATGTACTATGACCAAGTGGGATTTATGCTTGAGATGCAATAATGGTTCAACATACAAAAGATTATAGCTATAATACACCACATTAACAGGGTGAAAGATAAAATCATATAATTATCTCAATAGATGCAGGAAAAGCATTTAACAAAAATATAACATCTTTTCATAATAAAATTCTTCAATATATTGTGTAGAGAAGGAACATAGCTCAAAAGAAAGGTTGTATCTGACGAATCCACAGCTAATATTGTACTCAATGGAGAAAAAGAAAGCTTTTCCTCTAAAATCAGGTACAAGACAATAGTGCTCTTTCTCACCTCTCTTACTCAATATAGTACTGAAGGTATTAGCCAGAGCAATTACATAAGACAAAGAACAAAAGGCATTCAAATCGGAAAGAATTAAAATTATTATTTGCAGATGGTATGATCTTATATATAGAAATTCCAAAACACTTAATCAAAAAATTGTTGAAACTAATCAAATTCAGTAAAGTTGCAGGATATAAAAACAAATGTACAGAAATCAGTTGCATTTTTATACACTTACAAGATAATATCTGAAAAAATAAATCATGTGGTTCACAACAGCACCAAAAACATTAAAATACCTAGGAATAAATTTAACCAAGGATGTATCACCTCACACCTGTTAGAATGGGTATCATCAGGAAGACAAGAGACAAGTATTGGTGAGGATGTGAAGAAAAGTGAACCCTATGCATTATTGGTGAGGATGTAAATTGGTGTATCCACTATAAAAAATAACATGGAGGTTCCTCAAATATTAAAAATAGAACTACCATATCATCCAGCCATTGCACTTCTGGGTATATATCTGAAGAAAACAAGAGCACTCATTCAAAAAGTTATAGGCACCCCCATATTCATTGCAGCAATATTTCTTATTTTGGGGCAAGGTAAGGAAAGAACCTAAGGGTCTGTTGGTGGATATATGTATAATGAATGTCTCACACACACACACTGGAATATTATCCAGCCATGAGAAAGAAACAAATCCTGCCATCTGTGAAACATGGACAGACCTTAAAAACATTATGTTAAATGAGGTAAGTCAGAGAGAGAAAGGCAAGTACTGTATGATACCACTTATATATGTGAAATCTAAAAAAAGCCAAACTTGTAAAAACAGGGAGTAGAATAGTGGTTACCAGAGTCTGGGAGGTGGGAAAATAAGAGAGATTGTTTAGGACACAAACTTGTAACCAGTAGATAAATAAGTTCTGGAGATCTAATGCATAGTATATTCATTATAAACAACAATACAGTATTATCAACATCAAACATGCTAAGAAAAAGAATCCACTTAGGTAACTCAAGCTGTGTTATACCACCCTGATCTCAAAGTTAGATGGACTACAGTTTCTCAACTTCTGGGGTAAGGCACAGGAGTGAGAATAGGGGACAGTCAGACTGGGTGTGCAATATCAGGGGATTCAATCTTCAGAACTAGAGAGGTGGAGGAGGATGGACCGCTGCAGTCCAGTATTCTCCTGATATGGTTTTCCAGGTTTGAGTACCAAGAAAGCTGTCACTCTCCTGGAATTCCAAATTAACCACAAAAAGCCAGAGTACTCTCTATTAAATTGCAGTGGACAATCACCACTTTGTAGCCTGACCTGAACAGTTTAAACTGGGAAACCTGAATCTTGGTATTCCTGGCTGGTTCAGTGTCATTTCATTAATTTTTAGCAATAATACAGTTATGAAATACATGCAATTCCACATTTTATCCAGTTAAAGATTTGGATCTCCTTATTGCACTACTGACCAGGTTAAACTGTTTTTACACCACCACCTGAAAATGGAAAGGAAATACCATTCATCAGTGTCTGTTGTGCAACGTGTTGGGTCTGAGGCCCTCTGCCTACCACCTTGACTGGCATTTTACCACTAGAGACCTTATTTCATTTGATAAGAACTTTCCTTTAGAAGGTAGCTACTTGGGGGTTTAAGAACTTTGTCCAAGGAAACCCAAAGTGCTGGTAGCTGAGCCCATCTCAACCACATGGCTTCATTTAGGCTAATAGGTGTCATTTGTTGAACAATAACTATGTACCAGCCCCGTGGTCTCCACTTCACATCTATCATGCTTATTTACTCTATAAAGCCACATTAGTTCTCTATTATTCCCCTTTTACAAATGAGGGAACACTGAAGGATTTTGTAACTGGCCCAAGCAGTCAAGTAGTAATTCATACCAATTTTGTTTGACTTTGAAGCCTGTATTCTTAACCGTATGCAAAATTTAATAACATCGAAGGAGGAAGCATATTGTCATCATTTGGAGTTTGAGCTCTAGATATGGGTTAATAGCCTGCATCAGCTTGTTACTAGATCTGTAATACTGTACAAGTTACTCGAACTTTCTATGTAGCAATATATTCCTTTACCTGTAAAATGGGGATATTAATAGTACATACATTCTATGTTGGGGTGAATAATAAATTATAAAATCCCATTACTCTCCAAGGCACTCTCTGGCATCACTTTCCACAATGACCTGGGGCCCTGCCCGTAGCTATTTATTTGGGAAAATATATGCTAAATTCATTTATGATGAGGTTGTCCATATTAACTCACTCTGTTACTAAGTCAGAATAATTTTGAATACTGTGATGCTTTAGCAGGTAGTTTAAAGCAATAGAAATTTACATTTCAACAGAAATATCAAGTGAGAGCCAATATATAATCTAGACAAAAGCAAGAGTTTAATTAGAACGCCTCTCAGTTTGGTGGCTGGTTAGGATGGCGATGTTAGGGGTGGGATATGCGAAAACATCAGTGGTGGGGATGAGAGTGGTGAGCTCAGTCTGGAGATGCTTGGCTTGAGGTGATTGCAGGGCATCAGGCAGAGTGGCAGCAGGTAGGCATGGAGAGTGGCTCTAGCTCAGGACAGATTGCAGAACTGGAGACACAGATGTGGAGGGTAGGGATGCTGTGTACCTTGAGTTATAAACTAACCAAAGTGGGTGGTTGCAGAACCCAGGCATTTGGAATGAGTATATAGACTGGAGAAAGAACAGGACAGCATGGGGAAACCTTGTCATTAAGAACTGGGTAGAAGAAGAGAAACCTATGGAAGAATCCAAGAAGGAAAAGCATAGAGCAGTGGTTCTCAACCTGTGGGTCGCGACCCCTTTGGGGGTCGAACAACCCTTTCACAGGGGTCACCTAAGACTATCAGAAAACACATACTTTAAATGGTCTTAGGAACCGAGACACCTTCCTCTATCCGTCTACATGCTGGTCCGCCCACATGCAGATACACCCACATACGACTACCCGGCGTGATGTCATCATTGCGCCAACCCCATCACATACACCCCATACAAATACAGGTGTGTGTAACAGGGTTGGTGCCATAATGTACTTATGCAGACCAGTCACACATGTGTAGAGAGCAGCTACTGTGTAGAAAGCAGCTGCTGTGTTGAAAGCAGCAGAATTGGAGGTAAAACGACACTTCATGAATTATAATTACTGGGTAAATGTAAAATCATGTACTGTAAAATCATCAACTACTGCAAAAAAAAAAATCTGTACCATGGGAACTTAATCTGGATGCTGATTGGTCTTTTAATAT